GGTGAGTGTGATATCGTTAAATATTACTCGCAAAGAATTCAAATACGAAATTTATGTAGATGAATTTTACCTTTCGTCATCTTTTACATTTAATAATTAACTATAGTATTGTAAGAAATAATTGGCTATAAAAAGTCATTTTCCAAAAAGCTGTGCTGAACTTATTACAATTCATTTTATTTTCGTCTACAAGGTAACATTCTTTTTCCTAAAATTCTCACAGTTAAAAGTGTTTTGCGAAATTCTCGTGATGCAGAATATGCGTAATTTGTCTGAGATTATGGGACCGCCGGCTTCGGCCGGGCTCGGAGTGTCGTGAAAAAGGGCACACGGTGACAGGGACGTTTTTTTTCCGAGCGACTTGCACGGCCCTGGCGCGCTCCGGTTCTCATGAAGTGTTCCCCACGTGGTGCTTAGTCTCTCCTCCTCTCCATCTCTCGGCTCGTCTGGTCGTCCATCCGTTCGCCCATGTGTTACGACGATTCAGGCCGCGATGACCTAACCAGACTGTCAATTAAAATGCCACCATATGCCACTTAAACCGTTCTAAATTTCAACCATTAAGTCCCTATACATCTGCGGTGGCCCCTTTCGCGATGGGCCGAGAGGGTGGGTGGAGGAGGAGGAGGAGGAGGAAGGTACAAATTGCGTAATCGCGCAAGACGGAAGCGTATCTCTATCCTTTGTTGGTGCGATCGACCTTCGTACACTTCCATTCTTATCAATAAATCACAGCCATTCATCAGTAATCATATTTTTAACCACTGAAGATTTTTACCAAAAACAAATCACGTGTCTGTTGCGAGTTCATTGTTCGTGACCGTCTCTGACGACAAATAGTCGCGATGGAAATTAAGTGGCCGCTAGAGATTATTTACCCGGCGTTATCTAACATAAAGTGATGTTAATTGGAATGCGTGCAACATGACATGCAGCTATTATTTTGATCGAAGAACTCTTCACGCGCTTACACGGAGATGCTTGCGCGGAATGTTTACGCTTTAATTGAAAAATAAAGCTTTTTCAACTTGCGTTTTCGAGTTTCCATTTTTCCAAACTTCTCAAATTCCCGATGCTAATCTTATCAAATTTTTATTTCAAATTTATCCAAACATCTAAAAATGACGCGAAACGTCAGGAACGTTCAGCTGTGGTTGACGTATCACTCAATTTCCATGATTAATTAATACCTATCAATATTTATAATTGCGCTATTAATTTTCTATATACAATATAATTAGTATATATATTTTCACGCGCGCACAAATTTAGCTGACCAATATTTGGCTGTTAACGCAAGCTATACATTTACGAACGCCCTCACAAAAATTGATGGCGTGCAAATTCATCCGCGATTATCGCATATCACGGCGCCGCGATCCGTCATTCGCCACACGCTCTTAATTCCCACACACGTCCGTCTTTCGAAACACCCGGACCTCGCCCTTTTGTCGTCGAGTGCTCCCTCGGAACTTTACGAGCGCCGTGCATGTCTGCTCGACGTCGAGGAAGATTATGCGAGAGAAAAAAAAAAGAGAGAGACCGAGAGACAGAGGGAGAAAAGGGGAGAGAGTGAATACCTCGTGTGGCATACACCCCTGACTCATCCGGCTTACGTTCCTCTCTCGTGACGAATCGAACAACGATGAGGGAGCGAACTCGAGAATCGACTGGTGGGGCGATTCGGGGGATGCTCCGGCCGAGATACAACCGTTATACGAACACTCCGAATATCCGGACATTAACGAGCCATGCAAATTTCTACCTGTGATTTTCATCTAATTATTTTTAACGGTCCGATCCTTTGTGTTGTCTGTTTAATTTAAATTTAATAATCCGACCTGTCGTTTCGCAATTTTGCATATCGTACTGTAATTTCAATAACCACTAATAATCTAATTAAACTTTCATTTTTGTTATTAATTAGTCATTAAATATAACAAAGCCTCGGATTTATCAGACATTTATTGCAGTTAAAACCACGCAATTTGAATTAAAGAAGAAAAAAATATTTTAATATTTAATTAAATAATTTAATTCTTCTGCATTTTTACGTTTATATAACACCGTGGAACTTTTTATTTTCTCCTTTTAATGAACAAACCAACACACATATTTAAATCAAAATAAATATTTTTGTATGAAAAATAAACAATATCGTGAAACAGGTAACATTACGTTCGTTCGCAAAACGTTGCGTTGCGATCATCAGCTTTTTCGAGGAACGAATCACGTCCGTAAATCGCGCGCCCGGCTGCGGTCGCTGGGAAAGAAGTCACATTATTCTCGCGGACATTATAGGGCCATGCTCATTAGTAAATGAGCCCCAAGCAATCGAGCGCCGCCGGTACCCAGGTGTTATCTCTCCTGGCGAACGGACGAGCTGAGCGCGCAATGCGCGCCCTTTAAACGCAAGCGAGTGAGCGAGCGAGGGAAAGGGCGGACGGGGGCGGCTCGTTCTCCGCGCGGCATAATGCCTTTTGTTAATTATTACAGCGGCCACACTTAGGGGCTTAAAATTTGCCATAAATAATCGCCGAGACAATACCGCCCCTCCCACACCGTTTCACTTCGAGTAGCGCCTCGGGGGTGCGCCATTCTTTCTCTCTCTCTCTCTTTCTGCTTTCTCCTCACTTTTAAATAACCGATAAAAACAGTCTTCATTTCTTCACGATGCAAATTACTCGGACTTTCCGCAATTCCTCGTCCTTCCCCTTTGTCTTTGCTTAATTATTTGACTTTTAAACGCGTGTCATCATTCAACAGTGAGGACAGAATGATTGCAATGCAGAAAAGGATTAGAAATTTCGACAATCTCGTTTTTAGAGCAATGTAAAAATTATTCTCATTAATGTTTGTTCACATCACTTGCAAATGCAGCTGTGTTTGTTCGCTCTCGTAAGTAGTATTGAGCGCGATAATGACCTCACGTGAAGAAAAGCTTTAATCAAGCCATCAGCCGATAGGGAAAACTTTGTTCACTGCCTGTCTACTCGCCATTTCCTCCAGCCAATTAGCAGCGACACGATGCACCCTAGCCCAGCAAGAAACGGAATTCAGCTCTCTCTTTCTCCGCGTCCGCCTCGGTATCTGCATAACGCGCGCGACACAATATCGACTGCTCCCATTGGCATCGTTACCTTGGATCGAATTTACGATACTTCAGCAGATCGCGGAGAATGGTGTGTTCTTGCGAGCGGAAAGTCGACGAGGGTGGCTAGTGGAGTAGATAGATATAGCGCATAGCGGGGCTGGAGACAACATTTCCGCCGTCGGAATTCACGATACCGTACTTCCCGAGAGAAGCGCCGATACCTTTTTTAAGAACAAATAAAAATCTGACACGTACGATAGTTTCATTCTCCCGTCGAGCAATGCAGTAATAAACATCAGACAATGGAGTTGGGCTTTAATATATTACATCTATTCAACCGGAAACGATATTTCACATTTAACAATTCAAACATGAGTCTTATTTTTGTAAAAAATATCACTTTGCAATTTGATTATCTAATTTTGCATACGAAATAAATTTAATATATTCTCTTCTACACAAAACTGCAATACAGTTAATTCTGGAATATTTTTAGAATTTTATTGAAATAAAAATTCGTTGACAAAACTTTTCCGTTTTAGAATATATAAATAATAATCGGTGTATAATAATATAAATGCAAATGAACAGTTTATTTATCTATTTTTAGAATAAATAATACGAATGGATAGAAATCGTTTTTGCTATACCGGCCCTGGCAGAGAGTTAAGTGCCTACTTATGCTTCTTCATGTCGGACGAGGAAAATGTTTTTTATCCGCTCGATTCGTACGCCAGCGAGAAAACGAAGCCGTGATATCTCGCGCGGACCGCGAGGTATTGCGAAAATGCTGCGATACGCTAAACCGCGAAACCGTGAATATGCGTATTTGCATCATTGTTATCGAGTGCGGTTTTATTGGACATTGTAGCATGTTGCATTGACAGTACTGGCATTAACGAGCCAGTGCTCTTTCTCTCTCTCCTCTTCCCCTTGATGGCTCTTTCGATAATTGATATGATAATTAACCATTTCTCCGTACCGCGATTATGGTGAATGCGGCCGCGTTTAATTGTCATTGTATTAATGCGACGTTTTAATAGTTCCTAAGAACGCAACGCATTAATGAGATTGAGAGTGCTGGTCGTACACGACTAATTATCTTAATCCGGTTCCTAGTAAGTTTCTCTTGTGAGAGAAATATTTCTTCGACGGGTGCAAATTTCAAAGCTGGTTTATTATCGAAAAATTTTGATAGATTCCGTTCTTGGCAATTTACCGAAAGAATCGACATTTGAAGTCGTTAACAGCATTTGATTTTGCACAAATATCGACACATCGCGGCGATGAAGAAAACGTCGGTGAATTATCAAATCGATGACGCACGTCAGTACGTCGCATACATTATTGGCTACACAGCGAACGTTATTAATGCCGCGTGTAACGCCACGTATCTATCCAGTTCCACGCGTTGAGATTATCGTGTAAACGATAGCCGACGAAGTGCCTTTTGTACGTCCGGTGTAGTAGCGGATGGGCGAGCTTGTGTGTACAATGTAGGAGGATGCATCGTTGCATCGACGAGAGGGAGGCGTTGGCGGGACGACGGGCTGTGGATGGCAAGGGTCAGCTGATAGCGGACAATTATCTTTCAGTATAGAACGAACGACCGAGGCTGCGGCCGCGTTGTTGTAAAACATTGTGTCTACTTTGTAGGCAGTCGCTCGTAATCCGTTCGGAACGGTCGTCAGTTTTATCGCGAGTTTCATCCGTGAGATATATATTCATCGATAGTGCTAAGGTAAATAGATCCTGACGTGAAAATCGATGGGCGTTGCGATATATATTCGATAGAGATATGAAATTTTATCGAGTTATTTACAGCACTCGTCAAAGTCAGATGTTATATATTCCTCGATTTTTGTTTGTTTTCTGTTTTTTTTATATGCACGCACGTACGCGTGGATTGATAGATATTTGCGATTACAAACCATAAAAACGGAATATTTGGGCGGCATTAAAATTCCGAGTGCCAAATATTTAACTTTGCAGTGGATAAATTGAGATTTAATCACAACATCCGTTCAACCGACAATCGTTGATATTGACAATCGGTAAGTTCTAAGTTACACAATTTTTCACAACCTTGTTTTAGTCGATTGGAATACTGATTCGAACAAAATTCTATCTAAGTCTTTTAAATAAAATTATTCAAAATTTTAATCTCGTAAAAAATTAATTTTATTTGTAACAGAGCGAGTAAAAATATTGTTTGTTGTATAATCAAATTCTTTAACAAATAGAGTAAAACATAATTGTGCAACGTGTAGCAACAAAATTATTTTATTTCAAAAAGCGCAATAAGAATGTGGGAATGCGGTCGAAGCAGTGATAAGCCGTGCAAATATTATCTCAAGGTTTCAGATACTAAGAATGTTTTAAAATTTTATCGGTCTAATACCGATGCGGCCGTCGCTGTTTTATTTCCACACTAAACCTTGAATGCAACAGTCTTCATAACATAACTTTAAAGACTGAATTATTTTTGTCCACACTTTAGTTCATTATTTGAATTTAATCAGCAAAGCTAACCGTATCACCGTTAATATCGTTAAAAATTTGTGACGTTTTCACAGAATTCGCTCCATTTATTCGTATTAATTAATCAAATGTAGAAGTGTGTTAAAAGAAGATTTAATCGCGTCTAACTAACGACACGTTTATTTAATCGCGAAGCAGAAAAATCTTTTGCCATCTCAGTCCTGAATCACATCCTGAATAATTTGACATTCCTGCGGTATTTATGAACACAAATCAACGAGACTTCCGTTACTCTTTGCCTACGACGAGCGTTGCATCATGAGTTTATTTTCGTCGCCGGCGGCGATATACTGTTTTGAGTAGTGCACACTATCAGTTATATTAGATTCCGCGACGTACGCAGCATGACACACACGCAGTCCGTCCGCCCACAATTCCTATTGCGCTACGTAACAAAACTTGCAAGCTGTCAGCGATAAGTCGCGAACGATATACGACGACCGTTTGCTTTTTCCACGAAAAAGAGTTAGTTATCTATAATGAAAGCAAAACTGCCGGAAGTTGAAGGCACTGTACGGGGTGTTCGATTAATAGTACAATAGTTGAAACTAATTGAAATAGCATTTGGGTGCAAATAATTTGCATCCCGACTTTTCAAATTTATATAGCAGATTTCAAATTCACACTTTATTTATTTCAATCGATAGAACAGGTGACAAAATCACTCAGATATAAAATCGCGTATAAATCAGCTTAAAAAAATATTTGTTCAACTATCTAAATTTAAATCTAAATACAATGAAATATTACATTTGCGCGTACACTTACATTTGTCCAATTCATTGATTTATTTTTAATAATTTATCTATTCGCGACGCGAGAAACATTAATACGTCAGAACGTAAGAATTCTCGTGGCGAAATTGAATTATGAAAACTGCATTAAACGATGGAGGGCCGTACAAGGATACATTCCCGCCACTCCTGCGCGTAATACTTAAATGGAACTGAATCTTAAATTTAATCGAGCACAGCGTTTCCACTTGGGTGCTAAGTGGAACTGCAAGTTACGCTTAATTTGTTAATAGAAGCGCGACAGCAGAACACGGATGGAAAAATGTTTAGAAATGTCATTCGGGGTAATTGATACGACGACGTCCTGTTCCGAATCGAATTTGCCATCCTTAAGGCGACTCCGCGGGGGAATTAAAAGTTCAGTCGATATCTTTCTCAGTGGACAAAAACATAGACAACGGAGCTTGTTCTCCATCCGCGCCGTCCAATTGTTCAACGATCAATTTTTATTTACAAGAAATCGAATTGATGAAACCCGTCTATCGGCGAGAAAATTAGAACTTCTAAAAGAGAATAATCGTCAATAGAAAAGCAGAAAATGTCTAATTATACACGAATGAACTGTTAAATATTGTTAAACCGTGATTGAACCGCTTTTAAATAAGCGTTTCGAGTAATAGCAAGTACCGTAAGGACGTTAATAAAACTTGACGAACGGGTGAAAATTTGAAAAAGGTACGTCCGGACAAACAGATCTACTAGTTACTCTCTGATTTCCCTTCTCTCTTTCCCGGCGCTCGGTTCGTTTACCTCGTTGGTTGAATTACGCGACGGCAAACTCGCACGGTGGATCCGAAATGGGAAACCGTTTCCGGGCCCGCGAAAGAGGGAACGATAGAGAGGCAGCGGGAAAAGAGAAAGAGGTAGCCGGTAAGAGAGTCATTTTAAGATGGCGACCGCCTCAATTGCGCGAATTAACCTCTAACGAGAAATCTCGACCTCGCCGGAACGAACTGGGAGAGAGGCGCTTTCTTAAGGCGGATCGAGTTGACGGTAAAGTTTTTCGCTTTGCGTACAATTTTCGCAGTGGCGACAAGTGAAACGCAGCAGAGTTTGCAATCCACAATTTACTAACGTTGCTTTACATTCTTTTATTTCCTTAATGACAAAATAACATTTATAAACTGGTAATAATTTTGCGGGGGAAAAAAAACAAATATGGTTTGTAAAATGGCTTGTTTCTGAATTGAAAAAATTTTCCAACATTTATTTGTCACATAATTCAAAGTAATTCCCGACTTTAATTCTTTATATAGGCCTAAAAAATAATTTCTCTCTCCCTTCTTGATGTAAACCAAAACCATAAAGTAGTTTACTTACGTCTAAATCGACAGGGCTATTTTTTTCATTTTCTACAAGATTGCCTTTTAAAGGATTGAATTTCGTCATGGAAATATAATCCATGCACTAAAAGTTTTCCTTCACCAACTTTCACAATTGTACCAGCACGGCAAACATTTTCTTTAAGATTAGTTTGTTGCTGTCGCATCCTTTACGTCACCTTCGCTATCACGCAGCGATAATGTAAGCACATGGAAGCTGGCTCAAAATTAGTTTGTACACGGGAAATTTATCATAACCACCTCTATCGCATATCGTAGTGTAATGTAAATATTATCGTAGGCGCGTATGGCTGTTACACAGCTCGTTTGCAGTAAGAGATTGCAAAGGCGCGAAGAAACAGCTGTTCATTCAGCCTGATCTTTATTTGAGCACCGAAAATCCGTCGCTTTAAATTTTCGTCACTCTCGGCGCGCTAATGGATCGAGTGTTATCTCGTGCTCACTCGCATCAGCCTTATCGCGAACTGTTTTCTTCGTGTTTCTCGATTTCGTCCAATATAAAACTGTCGATACGTTAGATGACCGTGCAAATAACATTTTTCTGCAACAAACTAAGAAGGATTTTTTGAAAGCTTATCTCAAGAAGTCATTATTACTCCTTCGGTCTTTTGGGTAATTTGTGCAAGCAACTTTATGTACAAGCAGAAGCGCATAAATTATAATAATAAATTATAATAATAAATTTTAAATTTAAATGTATATTCTTTTTCTAAGAAAAAACCTCAATAGAAGCGAGAGCTTGCACAGCTTGCAGTCAACAGTTGCTTATCAGAGAAAATTGTGTATATACGTTCAAGAGGACATACCGTAATTCCCTTCTCCACGGACAATGTTAACGAGACTTTCTGTCACGCGAAGGTTGCCGCTATACTACAGGTCCACGCTATGCTACAAGGACAATTACCGCGAAACAAAAGCGCGCTTGTCTCTCTCGACGATGGCCTTTACCGCGACCACGAAAGATAATCGAGTTAATCGTCCTGTCCGCCCCGTCTCGACACCTTCACCTGTCGCGACGTCTTCTTCGATATCGAAAAATCTGACAAATTTCCGTCGCCTACAAAAATCGAATATTGGAAATCACACGCGCTTATTTTTTTTTTTTTTCATACCTTTTTTAATAACTAAAACATCTGTTTGAATAAAGAATGTGCTTGACTCTCAAATTAAGATATGAAAGAGACATTTATATGCGACATTTACGATTAACGTTGCTTTTTAGTACAGAATTGCCTTATTAATCGATCTTAAATTTCTCTCCCAAAGATACAGTCGCGTATTTAACAAATTAAATTCGCATTCACGTATTTTAGAAGAACTGGCAAATAATTCAGATGCAATTGTTTATAAAATAATTGTTTCGCGGATCACTGCGCGAGAAGAGACAAGCAGTTCTAATCTCATCGCGACGCGTTCGCGCGAACAATCGCGGAATAAATATACGAGGTGAGAATACGGGCTGCAGTTTCATTGACGATATTTAGGTATCTAGGAGTTAGTGTCGCGCAGAAGCGGGAAGATTAAGTAACACGATTAGGGATCAAGCGCATTTCGCGGCGCGCCCGCGTGACTTAACTCGAATCGCGCGTCTCTATTCGCGGGAAACGCGCTTTTCGCGGAAAATTGATTCGGCCCGAGCCAAGAGGCGAGTTACATCGAGGAAGTTATACCGATAGCCTATCGATTCCGTCATGGCGAGACTAGAAAGAGCGAAAAAGCGACAGGAAGGGAGGGAAAAAAGAGAAAGAGAGAGAGAGAGAGAGAGAGAGAGAGAGAGAGAGAGAGAGAGAGAGAGAGAGAAG